ACTTAAGTATCCTCTACTAGCTTAAACTATGCGCTAATTATCTTAGGATCTTCCTGTAGTATCCTCTGTCTATCCTTAGCTTAATTAAAGGCCATTTTAAGCTTGTCTGAACGCGTCATAAGCCTGCTAGCCTATAGTTTGCTAACAGGCTCTTCACTACGCATACTAAGTATCTTATTAGCTATATCTGCCACCTTACATAGCTAGGGCGCAAATCCTCGCGAATTAAGGTTAAGTATATACTAGATAATTGTCTGCTCCTCTAGTATAGTAAGTTTCTAGCAATTAGTATGTACGTCTAGTTAAAATATAATATTGCAAAGGCAATTAGAGACCCACTAATAAGGTACGTTCAACGCTCTAGCAGCGCTGTGGATACTGCGAAATTAGCCAGCGTAGAAGGCCTAGATAGCAAGGATAACTCTGCCTTCTCTAGTAGTATTCTGAAGTTGTTGTTGTTGAGGCATATTGTGTTAGGGTAAAAGGTGGTCGTGCCAAGAGAAAGTGGCCGGTTCGGTGATATGGCCGGCTCGGTGATAATCTACGTTAATGATTATACAGAATAGAGCAGGAGTGGGTGCCACACTTAACGCAGCGCTTGCTGTTCGAATTAAGCCGATCATGGCAAATGCCATTAATCAGGCCTGCGTTGAAACGCAGGGCGCACCCACCACACACCTCCTTACAAGCGGCACCAACCTTGATTGGAGCGGCCTTCTTCTTGCCCTTCTTGGGGTGCTTCTTCTCCTGATCTTTGGAGCCGCGAGCAGCTTGGCCGGATCACTTGGGGGTGATGGGAGCGAGCTCGCTATCGTCCTCCTCGTCCTCATGCTCGTCCTTGTCCTCGTGATCAGCGTCCTGACCACCGTCCACCTGATCGTTGGAACCCTCCTCTGAATCGTAGCCGCTCGTGCCCTCAAGCGGATCAACTGGTGGATCGACAGTCCTCTGCCTCTTGGCGAGAGATAATCGCCTGGCAGACAACGCGTTGCGCTTAGCTAATGGCATGATTGTGTGGATTCTGAACGTGTACTGTCTAGTTGTCTAATTAGTTAGTGAGCAATTAAAAGAGAATAGGATTATTAATATACTTGCTTAAGGTAGAGGTAAAGAGAGCTTAATTGTTATTAAAGAGACAAAGAAAGGACAGTAATTGCGCAAAAGGTCTGTTTGTTGCCATGCAATTAGTTGTTATAGTTACTAGATTAACTAATTAGAGCGGCACTGGAGCAAACAGCAGCCCTACCAAAGTGAAGGAGAGCAATCTTGACAGGGATCAATTAGGTAACAACTTAGCTGCGATACAGGCACCTAGATCAGTGATCCAGGCACCTGGGGGGGGGGTGTTGCAGCAAGGATTGAGGTGAGGGTGCATATCACGTGATCCGCATCTAGATATTGGACCGATCAGACACTGGCGATCTATCACGCCATGGTAAGCGGAATCAGGTATAGCTTAGAGCCGTGATTAGGGCTCCAATTAGGGTATAGCTGGATAAGCATTGGTGTATATATTCTGCTCATTCAGCACCGTAGATAGAACAAGGAACTTGATCACTTTCTTCACACTTGATCAATGATCAGAGACCACTCAGCTTCCACACCTTATTATTGTGACAATCTTAGCTAGCTAGTCTCCCACTGTCACTGTAGAGAGGAGGTCGTCTCCCTTGTTCTGCTGCCTAGTGAAGTGCATAAGCTAGTATTTCTTAGGGGCAAACCTTACTCTAAATCTAGATGCCTACTGTTTGTATTACGTGTAGGTGTTTATAAGTCTCCTGTAGTTGTGTACTATAGATAGTCCCTATGTAATAATATTTGTGTTGTCTACAAAGCTAAAGCCTAGGCACTTGTCCTAGACTTTGCTTAGGTCCTCTAGTAGGTTAGAGATGAAGAGTAGGAACAGCACAGGCAACAGGGGGGATCCCTGTGGTATACTAGTGTTTGTCTCTATCTATAGGCTGCTGTAGTTGTTAAAGCTAATCTTTGTCTGTCTATTTTTAAGGAAGGCCTCTACATATACAACTATCTACTTAGGGAAGCCTTTATATTAGAGTACCCATGTGAGGCGATCGTGAGCTACGTTGTCAAATGCTCCAGCTAGGTCGAGTGCGAGCACTAAGACCACTGGCTGACCTACCCCCCATGCTGTAGTGACTGTGCCCGTGAGGAGTTCTACGGCCGTGAGTGTGGACCTCTTCCTGCAGGCTCCTATTTAATTCTATAGCATGAGTTCCTTGTCCTCTATCACGTTTGTGATCTTGTTAGTAACAATCTTTTCTATAATTTTAGCTATTATGTTTTCTAATACAATAGGGCAGTAGCTCCCTAGCAGGAAGTAGTCCTTTTTCTTCTCCTTGTGTAGTATAACAGTTATAGATTCCTTAAGGTGTATAGGTACCTTACTATCCTTAAGCACCTAGGAGATTACTACAGAGGCTCTGTCTGTAATATCCTCCTTAAGAGTTTTCTATACTTTGTTCTGTATCTAGTTAGGTCCTAGTGCCTTGTTATTACATTAGGAAAAGTTTTTCTGTTGTCGAAATCAGGAAATCGTGGCATTGTACTGTGGACAACAGTAGGACTTGTAGGCCTACAATAGTTATTTAATGTGCATTTAATGTCTAGCTAATTTTAAGCTAATAGCTCTAATAGTCCTAACAGCTGTAATAGCTATAATAACTCCTAATCCTGCTACAATAGTAGCTCTGCTTAATAAACTATACTTTTATTATATTAATATACTACTAAGTCTCCTCTTTAAAATAAGCTATTAAATAATATTATAGGCCTATTAATAGAATAGTTATTAAGCGTAGAAGGTTTTAAGCTTAATATTCCTTGCTAAGACACTAAGTTAAGATTCTTTGCTAGGGCTCTAGCAGCCTAAATATTAGAAAATATAAGAATATTATTTAAGAATAGTAGGTAAACTAAGAATTCTACGCCTAGGCCTGCCTGTTCTGCAGTGTGTGCTTGTTAGCAGGTGCTTTGTTGTGTGCTGTTGCAGCTGCTACGTCGTGTGCTGTTGCAGCTGCAGCTGAGACATTGTGTACTGGCGCAGCTGCAGCTGCCATGGTGTGCTGTCGCAACTTCAAAACACAAACCTTTAACAAACAAACCTTTAACGCTATATAACTTGCGTTGTAGTTAGCCTATAATAATAATTTTTTGCTTATTTTAAAGCTACAATTTCGCTCTATCTGTGCATGAAATTTCGCAATTTTTAAATATTTAATACTAGTGCTAGCAGAACTAAGGGTAGCTATGCAACAATATTACAATATTATTTTAAGTTTATTAAATATAGGCACTTAGTATTTTAGCTAACGTAGATTATCACCGAGCCGGCCATATCACTGAACCGGCCACTTTCTCTTAGCACGACCACCTTTTACCCCAACACAACATGCCTCAACAACAACAACTTCAGAATACTACTAGAGAAGGCAGAGTTATCCTTGCTATCTAGGCCTTCTACGCTGGCCAATTTTGCAGTATCCACAGCGCTGCTAGAGCGTTGAACGTACCTTATCAGCAGGTCTCTAATCACCTTTGCAATATCACGTTTTAACTAGACGTACGCGCTAATTGCTAGAAACTTACTATACTAGAGGAGCAGACAATTATCTAGTATATACTTAACCTTAATTCGCGAGGATTTGCGCCCCAGCTATGTGAGGTGGCAGATATGGCTGATAAGATACTTAGTGTGCGTGGTGAAGAGCCTGTTGGCAAACTATGGGCTAGCAGGCTTGTGACGCGTTCAGACAAGCTCAAAATGGCCTTTAATCAAGCCAAGGATAGACAGAGGATACTACAGGAAGATCCTAAGATAATTAGCGCGTGGTTTAAGCTAGT